TGCACTATGCCGAACATGGCACGAAATGAGAATTAAGCCTCTGTTCGAAGTACCCATTGTTGTTTAAGGCCTGCCTTTCCCACAGTTCCCCCCCCCCCCCGTCCCCACCAGAAAAAGGACGACAAGGTAGGGGAAGCCTCTTCAGAATTTAGCACGATTCCATGGTTCCAACTGGGCAGTTTCACATTTCCCTTTGAAGCTAGCAGATGCTGTTCTCAAATGGGCCGCCTTCTAAAGCTGCTCCAGCTTGGCCGGGTCGGTTTCAAAATTCCCCACATTGGTTTCTGATGGTTCAGTACATTAGGCAAATCTATTGACGTGGGATCTGGCCCACGGACGCTTAGGCTAAAGGAGGTCTGCCGCTTCTTAAAGGTCATGATCCTTTTGCCATGCACAGAAAGGCAATGGCAGATGCGGTTGTATCCAATTGGTAGACACCAGTCGCACTGGGGTTGTGTGCTCTGCCAGGCAACCAGGACCTCATCCATCAGTTACAGCAACCCACACAATTTCCCTTCCACACGCAGTAAAAAGCAGCAAGATTCTGACCACCGTTTTTTTCTGAGCAAGCAGCATTTGGACTGATTTTAAAGGGCTTTTTGGATTTAAAAAAACAGGAAGTTATTTCACGCTTCCTTCTGCATCTCTTGCTCTGCGATTTAGATTTCTGGCTGCAGGGCCGGAGTTTGAGAGTTTGATCCCTACGGTGCTTCTTTGACAGGGGTTGGCCTCGATGGCCCCTTCCAGTTCTGCAGCGCCGAGATATAGACGTCAGATCTATCTCAGACGGACACTGACGTTGGGGGCTTGGCAATGCACTGATGTATAAGCTCACGTAGTTCAAGGATAGGAAATTCGGTTTCACAGGCTGTCTCGTAGCCAAGCGTTGGGCAGGGGCCAAGAAAAAAGAACAGGAGCCCAATATCAAGATATTAAAGCTTAACACTCTGATTAACAGTAACAAAGCCTTCAGAGAGAAATTTGGTCTTTTTGAAAGTGAAAAGCCCATAGAAAAGCTGGGAACAGGGAAGAAGGAGGAGTCGGCTACAGGGGGAATTCTAGGGGGTCAGATTTGGTGCTGCAGGAGGACCAGATTTAGCGCTTCTGGTATCCTGGATAGATGAAGCAGGGGATGGATGGCTCCTCCAGTACGTCTTTTAACAGATGGGCAAAAAATAAAATATTTCGTAAGCAATTGCTCTGAGGAGAGGCATTATCAAAGCTGCACGGAGAGGAATGGAAAGTTAAACGCCTAGCACAGAAAAAGGGGTGCGCCATGCGTGTGAACGGTAGGTGGCGCTACAAAGCCACGCGTGTTTTCCCGGGCATTCACAGAAATGGCTCTGAGGATGCAAAAATAGGATCCACGTCCGGATTCCTCTTCACCGCCACTGCCATCATGCTAGAAGAATCCTCTTCCACCCCATAGAACGCCCCTATTTTCATTTGTATGCTGACAGTCACAAATGCCTCCAGCAATTGTTTATGAATGGACCACATCAAGCTTTTTCTGCTGTTGCACAGGAAATTAGCGTGCTTGCTTGCTTATTTATTTATTTAATCATTTATTTGATTGGTTGATTGATTCCTTGCTTGTTTGTTATATTAATGCAAAGCACTATTCTGGGCAGTTTGCAACAATAGAGAAAACATACAGTACTAAACAAAAAGGACACAGGAATTAAAACATTAGCAGAATACTAATCCTAATACTTGTTCATTTTTGTAATGGCCGATGCCAGGGACCAGTAAGGTGGGAGGGTCCTGACCCATTTTTTTTATCCCTAGGAATCCTCCTGGCCTTTGCCCAAAACAATTCAAGAAAACAGTGGATAACGAAGGCCACACTAAACCAAGACACTGTTGGAAATTGTAATTTATTTATTCACTTAGCAGAATACTAATCCTAATACTTGTTCATTTTTGTAATGGCCGATGCCAGGGACCAGTAAGGTGGGAGGGTCCTGACCCATTTTTTTTATCCCTAGGAATCCTCCTGGCCTTTGCCCAAAACAATTCAAGAAAACAGTGGATAACGAAGGCCACACTAAACCAAGACACTGTTGGAAATTGTAATTTATTTATTCACCTATTTAAAATATTTTTACCCCACCTTTCTCCTTAAAAAGGACCTAAGGCAGAGAAGACTCCCTGGAAAAGACCCTGATGCTGGGAAAGTGTGAAGGCAAGAGGAGAAGGGGACAACAGAGAATGAGATGGTTGAACAGTGTCACCGAAGCGACTCCGGGAGGCAGTGGAAGACAGGAAGGCCTGGCGTGCTCTGGTCCATGGGGGTCACGAAGAGTCGGACACGACTAAACAACTAAACATCAACAAGGCAGTTTACATCCTTAAAAGACAACATTAGGGGTAAAAGCAAGACGTATACAAATACTAAAAAGGATTAGACCAATAGCACTCTGAGAAATGGTAAAGAGAAGCAATTCTAAAAACACAGGCAAAGCAGGAAGGCAGCACCGTCCCTTCCACACTCCCACTCAAGCAGCCAGTCACGGAGGGAAAGCTGGCCTGAAGAGAAAGGTTTCTGCCTTCTTGTGAGAAGACAGCCAAGACTGGGGCCAGGCTGGCCTCTTGTGGGAGGGAGTTCCAGAGTCTGGGAGCAGTAACGGATTAAACGCAAATAAAACAGGAGAGTGGAGTATGGCTTTGAATATCCCTATCCTTTTTTTTATAACCTCTTTTCATATGTGTTTCCTACTAAACACGGTCACCCAATTCATTTTAGGTGTTGTTTTTTTAATTAGAACTTATCAGAATGCACATATATGGTCATATTTTGGATGGAAAGAAGCGGAGCTTTTTCTCATTCTTTTCGTTTCAATGTGGTAGAAACGGAACAGAACCTCTCGATGCCTGTGGGTCCCAGGGCTTCCTGTCCAGTTTGGGTTTGAACTCCCTTGACTTCTTTTTTCAAAGAGACCGGTTCGCTTCCAGCCTCCCCCACCACCGACGTGGCCAGCCTTCAACAACCTCCCGCAGCTTCTGCGAGCTCAGCTCTGTGGCTTCCTTCAAGGAGTCTCTTCCTCTCACGTTTTCCTGCTGCCTCCCCTCTTTCCCAGCATGAGGATGATGAAGCCCCTCTCATTCAACAAGAGGCGGGAAACGCGCCCTTGCGGTGGGGGGGGGGAGGCGCGGCGGAGGTGATAATGGAAGCTGTCGCCCACGATCCCTGGAAGGCGCCGACTCTAGAGAAAGCACCACCGGGGTGGGTGGGAATATAAGGCTCCCTTCGAGGACCTTGTTTTGTGTGCCGCCTTTCTTGTAATGAGCTCCAGGCGGCGAGCGGGGTCTCTCTGTCGCACCACCGGGGTGGGTGGGAATATAAGGCGCCCTTCGAGGACCTTGTTTTGTGCGCCGCCTTTCTTGTAATGAGCTCAAGGCGGCGAGCGGGGTCTCTCTCTCTCTCTCTCAATCAATCAATCAATCAGTCAGTCAGTCAGTCCCTCGCAGGCTCGTCTTCACAACATCCCTGCGAGGAGGAGCAGGGCGAGGGTGAAAGCCAGGGCCAGACCCGAGATCACCAGGGGAGGGGGTGCCAGGCGGATTTAAACACCTGCCCGCTCTCACCCTGCCTTGCCGCCCCCGCATCCCGCCCAGGGAGGCTCACTGGGGCGGCAAAGCTGACCGCGTCCTCTTCCCCCCCCTCTTTCGAAGCCGTGCTGTTCGGTCTGCGCTCTTTGTGCATGCTCAGAGGCCCTCTCGGCGAGGGCTCCACACCCGCCTTCCTTCCTCGCTCACAGGTACCGGCGGAGCTGCGAGGCTGGCTGGCCTGGCTCCATCTTTGGTGGTGGTGGTGGTGGGGGGGAAGGCACAAAAACAAGGTTGCCCCCTCCCCTGAAGGAATTGTTAGGATGACAGAGCTTTACTTGCTGAGCAGAATTTTAATCAAGCATCACATAAATAATCTTGGACACA